TGAAGGTCTATATCAATGTTCAAAGCTTTTTCTTCAACTCTCGTCATTTCTATATGATTTCTAATTTGATTTTGAATATGCTTCGAATAGTGTTTATCTCAAATGAAGAAATAAATGATGCTGATGGTTAAATACGTTGTGGTAAATGCTTTTATCACATTCTTTTTCTATGTAATTGTAAAATCGAATCATTCTATTTTGTATGTTCAAAGATAGTTTTCGTTTTCGTGATAGTCCAGAAATCAGAGTTTATCAAATTTTTTTGGACGTTTTTTTCTGCAAAAACGTGTTTTTGAGATTCTGACCATAGAATATGAATCTATGATTTTTCATTTTTAGTCAGTCACTTTCACGAATAGGAAGTCAACATCTTTCCATCATAAAAAGGCATCTAACTGCGCAAAACTCAATTTTTTTACCACGTCATAGTCAAAATTCTATTTTTTTTACTAGCACGTAAGTATTGGATGAAATTACACACACGCTCGTCTTCTGCATCATTCTTTGAATGAATTTTATGTGGCATTCAATTTTATGTTTCATGATGTCTTTTGGTGAATTTATCCCACGCCCTTAGAGGAATTTTATGCTTAGTAACGTAAGACGTGACGGGAATTTTGATTTCCATATACTTTGAATTTCAATCTCGCTCTTCTGGCATCATTCATCTTCGCTTAGCCCTAAAGATTCTTTCGTCAATCAGTATTTATTTTGTCGTGTGCACATTCCAATGATTCTATATTGGGTATAGTTTTCTTTTGCAAATTTGAATCTCATTCATTCGTCGCTCGAGTCTATGACGTTATTTGCACTCTATCGGCCTCTGCAAATCTTCTTCTTCTTCCCAATTTCATTCATTGTCTTTTTTTGTTTTTTTTTCTCTCCTAATGCACTCCTTTTATCAATTGTTCATCAAATGTGCTAGTACTAGAGCGTGAAAACTGACGTATGCGACTTTTTTTGTGCGCATCACTTCGAGAAGACGTGAAGGAAATTATTCATCGCTTTCTTCTCTTTCGAGAGAGAAAGAGGAGATAAAAAGAGAAACGCACCATAATGATCACAACGAGTAACACGTAAAAGCCATAAATTTTGTCCAAAGCCGTCTTTGTATGAATGTAGTGTGTGTTCGCGGTTTTTCTGACAGCGATGACGCAGTCAACGTGGCAGACGTTAAGCGCCGTTTTTCCCGAACACTTAGTTGTAATGTACGTAAGTGCACATGACTTTCGACCTGCTTTTGTTTGAAAATATTTGTTTTCAATGATGTAAGAAGCCTAGGTGAAATCACAAGATGAAGTTTGCACACCTGAGTTTGACGCGTTTTGCAAAAGACCGGGGGGGGGGGGGGAACTTTTGAAATTCGAATAATGTTGCTGCTGAAACAAACAAAATTTGGTTTAACCTTTGGGTCAATCAGAAAAATAATTTTTGTTTTCTTAAAGACTTCCCAAATTACTTTTTGATGCTTTTATCCACAATTATACCAGCTTGTCTCCACTCCATACGTCTTTTTTTCCATTCCTCCTTTAGCCTCTTTTCCTAAACCTTTCTATCAGTTTAAAATTATTTGTGAATTTGCACAAAAATTTCAATTTTATAAGAATAACATAGATTTGTCTGACCAAAGAAACGAAAATGAGCTGGAGCGCTCTCAATTTCATTCAAGTTTCGTTCACTACTTTTCATTCTAAAAATAGGTTTGTCATTCTCGCTTCAGGTTGATTATTTATTTATTTATTTATTTATTTATTTATTTATTTATTTATTTATTCATTCATTGATACGTGCAAAAATACGTGAGTAGAAATAGTGAAGGGAGAGTCTTGCAATGTAAAAACCATAGTATCAGTGCATGAAAGACATCAGCAAATGATATACATATAATAAAAATTACAGAACAAGACAATGAAATGTTTCTTGATTAGGAAATAGGACGATTTGTAGTAAAAAATTTAGCTAATGTCTTCTGAAGAGCATCTTGTGCCAGTAGTAGTTTATGATGAGATAAGCTGTTTTTTTCTGTTTGTTTTTTTTTGAATGGAAGTATGACCAGTGCTATTTTTGGAGTTTTCTTCGTCATTTGAGTTCTCGAACTCGGCCAGGGGCTTGAATTACTGGAGATGTATCATTATTTTTCCTTTGTGCCATTGTCTAGACGATAAAAGAAATTTCTGCTCTCACCCCAAAATAGATTTGGCTGTATTGTACTGCTGCACTGTAAACGCATTGCGTGACACATTTTTAATCAAATGTAATCTAAGATTTTTTGACATTTACGGGATCAAAGTTTTCTTGATTTGCTCACATTTTCCACAACTTTGTTCGCAGCGTACCATTGTCTCTCTAGGTTCTTAACTCAATAAGTTTTTATATGGTGCTTGCTTTCTTAGTCTATATTTTGCCTACAAATTGAAGAAGGTTGTTGTAGACGCATAGCGCAGAGGTTCTAGGCGCCGCTATAACCTTCGAGGTCAGAGTTCGATCCTCGCCTCTGCGCCAACAAAGCTCTTTACGCTTTGGGAATTTTAATCGATGTTTTATGATATTTTTTGTTTAATCGCCGAATTGTTTTGAAAGGTGGATATTTAAAAGTTGGAACACATTCAGTTTTTTTTTGGTATATCGAACTCTGAACCTGTCTGTGCTTCATACCGTAGTTGGAGAAAATCAACGAGTTCGGAAGTTTCACCGCGTCTATTGCTCATTAAAGACTAGTCTCATAAAAAATGCTTACGTAGTGGAAAAGAGAGGAGGTGGAGAGACTCACACTGCTCATCGTATTACAAGATCCTTAATGCACTACCTATTATAGAGTTAGTTGCAGCGTAGATGACGTATCTGAAGACTGATATCAATTTTCAAGAGTAGAAGGAAGTGTTAGCGGTTTTTACGACAAAAACAAGATTTTACAGCTTTCTACGGGTTTTTCATACTTTTTGTGCAGTTGCACAATGCACACTGTATAAGCTACAGTATCCTCGCTGTAACAAAGTAGGGCGCAAGATGAAGATCATTGGTTTAAATTTTTTGCCAGAATCGTTTTCTCTTCACATCTGATTTGCTATAAATTTCGATGAAGAAGTCTCTGCATTGATTTTCTGGACCAAATCATATGTGATGCTCGTCTTCAAGCTTACGTCATTCCTTGAAAAAATTGTAGAAGTCTGTCTGATCAGCTGAGGTCTCGTTTATTGTTTGCACACTCTTTGGTCTAACCAACCTCTGTTCCGAGTTGTTCTGGAAGACTCACGGCCATCTTTCACATTTGTTCGAAAGATGTTCCAAAGATAACTCATGAAGATCTGCGTCATCAGCGAATGTGGTCCATGTCATTTTTTTGGCTTTTTCTTTATTTCTGGCAACTCTTTCTTGAACTCAAATCATGGAAACTTAATAAAAATCTTTTGAAGGAGTTTTTTTTTACTATCGTTTTTAAATGACACTCTAGACTATATCCTCAGCTATTATTTTTTCGTTCTGATAAGTCTCCACTTGAACTCTGCTTTTCTAGATATTTCTCAAAGTCATTTTCTCCCCCTTTCCTGCAATTTGGAGATTAGCCATGTGAGTTTTCTATTCGTGTCCATTCTTATTCTGGAGTTGAGCAAATTAAAGGAAATTTCTAGATTCAAATTCAAACTTGTTGGAAGCCTTTTTGTTACCTTTCATATGAGAAAGCTAATTACGGAAACAATTTATTCTTGTTTTCATACAGTGAAAATTTCCTATAAATGGCTCGAATGCAAAAATTGGACTTGAGTTTCTTTTCTTTGTGCAGTCATCTGATATTCATTGCGTGGATGATTTTGAACATAGTTGTCCAAGCTGCTTGAAAATTTTTCTAGAGACTTAAAAATTAATAAGTAACAAGTTTTATTTTTATCGAATGTCTCTACGTAGAGTTATAATCTTTTGGGAGGCGATGCAAAGTTGCGAAGTCATTCTCCCTCTTTTTTGGAAATTTCAGCTCAATGAAAAAACTCAAACCATACAAATTTTGAACCATCACTCAACCAAACAAAAATTTTGTTCTAGAAAATTTTTGATTCTTGAAGTTTCTAGTGTTACATCTGTGATTTTTAAGAGCATCAAAAGTTTGGATATGTATTTTTGAGATTGCTAGAAGTTTCGAATGGAATGAGCTACATAAAATTTTTGATTTTATGAGAATATCCTTATCCTCGTTTTTGAAAATTCTTTTGGTCGATTAGATCTTTTTTCTGAAGAAAATCAAGCTACTTGTGTGAATATTATTATACCTTCAGGCTTTCTATTTTATTTCATCAAGAATTCGTATTCTTTTGTTTCAACTATACGTCATCTACATCACTCAAACATAAAGAAAATGACACATGAAGCATAAAATAATTCTTGAATTCATTGTCATGACGATTTATTTCCATTCGCATACCCTATTTTCGTCAAGATTCCATAAATAAGCGTAATAAATAATCTATTCAAAGCCTCGATAAATCATCTTGAAATGTTTCGTAATCCTGATCTATGCGAAAAATCCGGATTTCGCCCCCGGCGGCGCGCGGATCACGTTGAGAGCACATTTTTTACCCTTAGACTTAATACTTATGACTATCTGAGCTTAGCATAATGATTAGCTAAACGTCAGCTGCTATATATTTTTTGACGTCAATCAATGCGTCACATCTCGTCCGCGCGCGCGCGGCGCCGCCCCGCTGCCGCACTCGCGACGTCGTCGTTAGTCCTTCGTGAAAGTGCACTTCCATTCAAGAACAACGCACTAGCATGACGTCATTGCGGCGAAACTTTATTATGACGTCATTCTGAACGCACTTCTAAGTTCACAAAGACATGGAATACATGCATGCATGCTTAGAATTACTAATTGACTAGCTGAACCCGAAGAACCTCGTGGACTGTCGAATAGATGTCATTCTAAGAATAGCATATTAGAGCTGGATTACACCCCACTCAGGGCTTTTTATCGTCGAATGTGAATAGAATAACCCTATTATTTTCAGCTGGTGCACGAGTGCAACGTGCAACTGGCGTTATTTCGAAATGCGACACAAGGTATAGGAACTAGTCATGATGGCGCCTCGTTGAGGAGGTGAGCGATTTTGAAAATTATTTTTGGATTTTCTTGACGGGTTCAAATTGTTTCTTTTTGCTTATCGCATTCTGCAAATGCGCCGTTCTGTGAAAAAATGCAGAGAAAGAGCAAGAATGCAGGAATTGAGCCCAGAGAATTGACATCAGTTGCGTGAAACGGGAAATTTTGAGTTTTAGAAAATGTCGATTTGAGCACAGTGAATATTTTCTGAATTTACTGTGTAAGGCGCGAACAACAGCTATTTTTTCAGGTTTTTCGTTTTTAGAGGAGGAAAGTTTCAAAGTCTAGTATGGTCCAGCCAAATTATTAATATTTTTTTATTTCAGAGAAGTCGAAACTGCCGGCCGGGCATGCTTGAAAGCATGCGAAGCAGCGAAGAATTGTGTTTTACCGCAATTACGGCATGAAGGTAAGACAAAAATTTGTCGGACTTTAACTATATTCGTCCTTCAAATTTTTTCGCCATACCATTTGCTTTTTTTTCATTTTTTCCAAATAGTTATCGACTTTCTCGTAATCGATAATCATGAGAAGAGTGTTGTTCTCGTATTAAAATTTCACTAGGATCAATTTTCATTCCAACAAGTCCTCATCAAGTGTATTTTCTGTTAATAATCTGTTGCTTTATTGATGACAAGTTTTTACGGGGATCAGTTCTCGTTATGTGTCGTTGTCGTGTCATGTGACTTAGTCTTTTCTTTCACAAAAAAGCACTGATTTTTGTAGAAATGAACATAAATTCTACAATTGCTTATTTATAAGATCTGAATTTGTTGTCTCACATAAAACACTTTATAGTTAATTTTTTACTGTTTTTGTTATGAGTTTTTCCTGTGATTTGGTTTTTATCACATTTTGCACAGTAGAAAATTTCTTCGTAGAAGGAACTATATTGTTCATGATTTGTGAAAATTAGGGAACAGAATGTCTGCAGGCTTTTAAAACCTTTAATCATAGCGTGGGTTTGGGACCAGTTCTCGCATAGTCGTGAAATAATTGATGTAAGGTTTATGTATATGTTTCCTTTTGCTTAGTTTGAGAACACTTCATGTCTCCGTTTCATAAGAAACTTTCTGGTTTTCTGCAATGACTACTTTTATGATTATTTTTTTTGCTAAGATTCTTTAATGAAAATTACTGTTCTCATGTTCAATGATGTTCTTAATGTTTCACAATTTAGGTGTGGAATTCACACGGCATGCATCACAATTTATTGGATGTGTAGCAGCTTATGTGGTAGAGATGAAACGATGCGTAGCTTTAGAGAAGACATTTCCAGCCCCCACCGAACCGTCGATCACGCCGCAGCAGGTCGGTTCAATTGCCCACGTCTTCTTTTCTCATTACAGTGACCCCAAAGTTCGAATATTTGATTTAGATAGCTAATATGGAAGCAATGTTGGTGACATTAGAAAATTTGATCACCGTACATTTTTCCACGAGCGAATCATCCCCTACCGATAAGGTGCGATTATTTGCAACTCCAAAATTCCAAAAATCCAACAAAAAACTCTTTTTCTAGGTGACCCCTAGGCGGCGACGAGCAACATCCTGTCGGCCGCAATGTGTATGTTCAAAGCTCAAAACGAGCTATGCCTAACTACTGCCACTGTTTTTCGCCGTATACTAAAGAACACATACAGTACTATGCTGCCGGATAGAGTGCGAGTAAGATTCAGAAGAACTGCGCACCTGTTGCAGTGCGAACCGCAACGCAGCCGCGGCGCAGTGTTGTGTTCTTTTTACTGATTGATCGCGCGGTAATTCAGCTCAACGCATCGCTAGCAAAACTTCTCTTCTCCTCCTCATTTCATTCATTATTTAATGTATTGTCAATCGCCTCACTAAAAGCTGCATGAGAATTTTTATGCGCATGTGTTTTTTTTCTAGAAGTATGGGAGTTTTTATCCCACTCTTTTCAATGTCCCATTGTGTGCACAGGCACTCTGTCTATCGTATGCAAAGTTTGCGCAATCTACTCTAGCACAAATATTTTTTCCGTTCATAGTTCGTTTTTTTTTCTGGGTAAAATAGCGCACCATGATGTTGACGAGTTTTGCATACATTCACACTCACATGTATCCTCGATCCCTATTCGCCACGTGGTGCCATCAATCAATGTATCGATTTGTTTATCACATCGCGTGTGCATGTGCGCTTCCATGTGTGTACGTAACGCCCTCTTTCTCCTTGTGTCCCAGTGCCACATGGGTATGCCCCGCCCCTTCTTTTTCGTGTTCCATGCATCCCTCAATACGAGCATATTACTTTACGACATATGTCCTTTGTACATTTCCTTAGGCGCCTATTTTTCTCATTCATACCGTTCATTTGTTCGTTCACACATCTCCTACTCGATACAAGTCAGCAAAGAGAGCATATTAATCCAGTGAGAATATCGATCAATCATGGTTAGAACTCTGCTATCTACTATGACTCATACTCCAAAAACTTCAAACGTGATCAAATATCAATTACTTGTTCTAGTCCTATTACTTGTATATATAACATATGGTGATTTATATCGTGCTTGATCCATGTCATCAATAAAGATTTTATGCTGAGCTCTTCGCCATCCCAACTGCCCCGCGCAGGGTCAACGCGTGTCTCACCCCCATGCGACGCTTGGCATCTGCAAGCGAAAAACGAAAAATCGGCTAACGGTGAAGGTGACCAGTCAGTTTTGAATATTGAAGTAATAACTATTGCTTACCAACATTGAGGTTGTTCCTCTTCAGAACAACCTCAATATTGGTAAGCATTCCAGATCCCCTCTAGGCGTGACTAGTGCGGCAGGAGTCTGGGAGCCGAATTTGCAGTACTGCCGCGCGCGACGGCTACGCAGACTGCGTTTCGGGCTTGAGCGGCTTTAATTAGGTCGCAAAGCCCGGCCTTCCAGCCGCCAACAGATGGATCCAAGGTTACTTATGCTCTTGCTTCCGACCACGCCACATAATGCTGCAATTCATCATACACTTTACCTCAAGTGAAAATGACTGGCACATGTTATTGTGAGAATTGAAATTATCAAATTAAAGGATATCCTTGACGACCGCCCCGTTTCGTGCATTCACACCACGGCGCGTGTGTGTATCAGGAATCTTTCCAGTTTTACATTCGCTGCAGCGCGCATGGAATTCGCAGCTCACAGCATTCCTCTCCTTTGATTTCTTTCGTTATTCAAATTCTCACATGTGCTTTTTCTTTGTAGCTTTCATTCTAGGCAGTACATGTTCTCATGTTCACCTAAGACCATCGCTCCGGTAAGGTTTGAAGGCATATTGAGTTTCCTTCATGCTGCAGTGGTGAATATCATGGCTATAATTGGGAGTGCACCTCTTATTCACTATTTCATACATATATATATATCCATCATTTTTTTAGAGTGGACCACTGAAGTGATTACATCAGCACTCCTACATCAAGAAGAGATGTAGATGTGCTAAAATAAACATTTGAGTGATCTCATGTAAGGAAAAGCTATGACACCATCACTGCCTACTAAAAGAACTCACCCTTTTCCCTAACTGTGCACAGGGAATAGTTCACGACTGAAATGATTTTCTGGTAGATAAAAAAGAAAGGGGTTTAAAAATTGTCCAGAACTCTTTTCCTTGGCCTTTCAGTAACCACCACAGCATTTGTAGTAAATCTAATCTTGAGAGAGCTTCAAAGAAAAAGAGAACCAATAACTGTCTGAAAAAACTAATTGTAAGAAGAAAAAGAGAACGATGCAACGCTCAATCAGCAAATGAGATCAAACGACAGGGATGCTGCGAGCTCAAAATTCCTCTGGCGCTACAGCGTACTGTAGGGCTGGAAAGGCCCAAAGGTTTCATTCTGATTTCGTAGTCCGAGAACAGTTTCAGCACAGTGCTCAGTTCAATCACTGTGCTGAAACTGTTCCCGGACTTTGGGATCAGTAAGCACCCAAAAAGGCACGCCCGCGGTTGTGTGAATGCACGAAACGTGGCGGTCGTCGACGGATATTCTTTAGAACATTTGCGGAGAGTTGAGAGGAAATACCAAAAATTCTAGTATCTACAATTCTTACTTTAGCTAAAGATGCAGTTAAAATTTTACAACACTTTAATGCACACAACGTAGAGGAAACGTTGCGCCATTGAATCGTAGGATTAGGTTGTCCGGAAATTAATGCAGGTTTCTGCGAATGCAATTTCAAAAGGATCGTTCTTCTGTGTATGTGCATCTTTCGACCAACTTCGCATATAAAAGAAGCCGCTCTTCATGCTCTCTCTTATATATATTACTTTTGAAACCAACTTCATTTGTTCAAAATCTACAACCATCCGAAGATAAAGCTTTAAATTACTAATTTTAACCTTTGCACTATTTTGGCTTCAACTTGTTCGGCAAGAAGGGTGTTTCCATGCGAAGTATGACGGGTCCCAAAATGCAGGAAGACAAAGGGAAATGGCTGGAAATCGCATTCGCATGAGAAGCACATATCGCGGGATGCCGCGCGTGCTGTGCAATGCAAAATACCACCCACAGAGCGGAAATTTCGCGAAATTCCAGAAATTTCGCGATTCCGGAGTATCGCATTATGCAGCGCCATAACTTCCTTCGGAATGAATATATTCTAAATCCGAAAGCAACATTGTGTTCAGCTCGTCAAGGCTAATCTTTCGACATACGTCATGTCATCTATATCTTGTTTCCAGTTTTCTCAAATTTTTCTGAGGACTTCCCATTGCAAGTATGTAGCGCAGCGCCTATCCAACATAAAAGCTTCCAGTAAGTGCCATTCGATAGTGCTCTTCTCGTACATTATAGCGCGCTAGAAAGCTGCTTGGTGGATTTTCGACGAAATATACGATCTTTACATTTTGGGCAAAATTAATGAGGATGTGTTTTCGTAGGCTCGTAACTCGGCGATTTCTGTAGAGTGGAGTCTGAGGCATCGTCGATGGCACAGTCCCTACTAATTTTGGACTTTGACAAGCAAGCAAGCAAGTTTTTTGGCAGATACGCGAGAAGTGCGGGCAAAGTTACGCACTTTTTTGTGCAGTTACGGTCATCTCACCGTATCTCTCCAAAAAACCCTGTAATCCTCAATGGCCTTGAATTTCGTAACCAGCGTGTTCGAAAACCTCTATAAGCGAAGTTTGCTTACAATTCAAGAGTATCAATATTTGACCAAAATCCATCGGTTTCAGAGCGTAAAACGAGAAAAAATGGAATTACTCGAACATCTCGAAAACTAGCTCATAGAGGTTATGCGACCTGCTGATTACGAAAATCACATCTGCTTAGCAAGAGAGCTTCATATTTTAGAGTTACGTTGAGAAAAATTTAGAACGACATGATTTTTCCGGAATTTACCAGCTCTTCTATCTCCTTTGGAAAGAAGTGTGCCTCTAATTTCTAGCGCCCCATAATTTACAGAAAAAGTACTATCGAAAATTTCTTTCTGAATTTACTGGGGGCAATACGCGCTGCTTCACATCTTTGCGAAGAGACGTCCGCAGAAAGTTTTAAGAATACTGAAATCGAGATATCAAGGACATTCTGCAAACCGAAAGATTTGCCTTGATGAGCTGAACACAATGCATTTTTCGGATTCAGAAAATATCCACTCCAAAGAAAGTTACGGCGAGTAGAATCTGGAAACGAGTGATTTTTCCAGAATTTACCAACGCTTTTTTCTCTTTTTAAAAGAAGCCTGCTGCAGCTTTCTAGCGCACTATAATGTACAAGAAGAGCACTATCGAATGGTGCTTACTGGAAGCCTTCATGTTGGATAGGCGCTGCGTTACATACTTGCAAATGGACCTCCTCAGAAAAATTTGAGAAAACTGGAAACAAGATAAAGATGACGACGTATGTCGAAAGATTAGCCTTGACGAGCTGAACACAATGTTGCTTTCGGATTTAGAATATATTCATTCCGAAGGAAGTTATGGCGCTGCATAATGCGATACTCCGGAATCGCGAAATTTCTGGAATTTCGCGAAATTTCCGCTCTGTGGGTGGTATTTTGCATTGCACAGCACGCGCGGCATCCCGCGATATGTGCTTCTCATGCGAATGCGATTTCCAGCCATTTCCCTTTGTCTTCCTGCATTTTGGGACCCGTCATACTTCGCCGAGAAAAACCCAGTTTCACAGATATCCATGCAGAATGAGCTCTTATACTATACCTGCTTTATTTCTGCAGTGCTCAACAGAATGTGTATGTAGCCTCTGGAATCAGCACACTAAATGATCCATTCACGCTAATCCAAGAAAAAACTTATATCCCATAACTAGCACATCTGTATACTGGAAGATGCGCCTCGCCGAGCTGAGTTCAATGGTACTCTCAAATATAGAATTCATAAATTTTGAATCAAAATAAGGGCTTTTTTCTAAAAAAGTTAGGAGTCGCGCGAAAAAGTTAGGTGCCCTAACTTTGTCGCGCGACTCGGCGCTTGCCGCCTAACTGCGGCAGCGCCGCGTGAGTTAGGTGCCGCCGCCAATTTTTTTCACAAATTACGGGTGGTATTGTATGCTGCACATTTACCAAGTGAAAGGAGCAGTTACCGCACCCTGTAAGTCGTTTGATACGCTATTTCGACGAATGAAACTTCTCTGCTAGAGCAAGAGGAGGTTCGCGACTATAGCGCCTGGTTGTTACTTGATGCTTACTATGGTGGCTAGTTAGGCTGCGTTCAAACTTCCAAAGTTAGGGAACAGTTCCGCCAAAGCGCTCAGTTTAAAGGCAGTGGCTCGGCAGATCTCAACCTGGTCAAATTTTTGCTTACTTGGGATTATTCAATACGCTGATTCCGAAAATCCACTTTTGAGAGCTTGAAAAACGAGCGTTTTTCAATGCCCTTCCTTTTGGAGTTGGACGAGTGCAGCAAGGCTGATGGCGGGGAATCGTTGCAGGACCCAATGGTTATAGCATTGCGGCGGGCAGCCTCCAATGGTGAGAAGGAAATTGCCAACTCTTCCGCATGCTGTAGTAATGGCCTGCGCGTGTAAGTTTGAGAGCAATTTTCTCGACAAGGAGGCATGCTGTGCAACCAGGATTGCACTGCTTTCCTACTTGGGCAATAAGGAGTCTATCGCGTTAAAATGTGCTTGGAACTGTTTTGGGAAGTCCGGCCCAGTATAAAGACAGATTTAGGCTTAAGTGTAGCCTTATATGGATGGGTAGCGCCTCTATGGAGTGTGGTGACTACCGCGCTTCATTACAACACAACTAATAGAGTTTTATTGAACAAAGTATTGAATCCATTCGTGCAGTGACAGAATGCTGAAAGTGAAAGGCGGAGCAAGCTAACATATTAGGGCGTCCCATAATCTTTTACTACAATCGCCGTTTTCTTGTATCTTTTTTTTTGATGTGGTTCAATAATCACTCGACTAGACAAAACAAGCTGTACAAGATGGCTTTCAAGAGTCTGCCTATATTGCAATCCTCGTGAAGTTTTGAGCTGAAATCTGGTATCAATCATAAACCAACGTCTTCATAATAAATCATATCTCCGCCCCAAAAAATCTTGAAAATTCTCCATTTATCCTAGCATATGTTTAACACATCAACATTCAGTTGTA